AAAAGCTAAATAGAAATATATATATATATAAAACAAATAAAACTTACAAACACACTTAAGAAAAACTTAAACTAAAATGAAAATAGAAAATAGAAAATTAAAGCTAATTAAAAATACTAATAAAAACTATAATAGAATATAAATAATACTAAAACAACATTGGTGAGCACAAAAAGCTAAGATTTACTTTTTTATTGAATAATTTTAGTGCTTCAATTTAAACTTCTTTTAGTTTAAAATATATATATTTTTTTATCTTTTATTAAATTAACTTTTATTTCAGTTGTAGTTGTCATTTTAGTTTATTTATTTCATTTCTTATTTTTGTGTTTTTCATCTAATATTTCTGTTCCCTTTTAGCCTTATTTCAAATAGCGAAATTAATGTTAATAGCTCCAATAAATGACTAAAACACTTGAGTCAGACTAAATCTGTCTGAAAACTCTTTCAATGAGTAGCTTGCCTGTAATTCAACTACTTTAAAACTACTTTTTAAAAAAATAATAAAAATTTTAAACGTAAAATACTATTTTGTTGGATTTATGATTAAAGTCAGCATGAAATGAAAATTCATCTGTTTTTCTAAATGCATGCTATAGAGCTTACTGTGAACAATTCATTCATGCACGATTCTTTTTTAAACAATGTTTTGACCTTGTAATGTTTAATCAATTATGTCATAACTGAATCTTCCAGCAAAAAGACAACACTTGAATATATGTCACAACACAGAAGTAAAGATCATCTCAACTTAAAAAAAAAGAAAGAAAAAGAAAAGCAGTAAAAAAAAGGCATTTTCATAGATATCGTCTCAGGTTGTTATAAGGACGTCAAGCTGCATTTACTAGAAAACAAAGAACGTTCATCACTAAAGTCCAGAACATCACACACAACACACAGGAACGCCTCTCGCAAGCGTTTGCCAAGCGCTCTGAGCAAACATGTGGACGCAGACAGAGGAAGACGAGCGCTCTGAAATGTGATTCTCCAGCACCGCGAGTTTCTGTCACCTGCTTCTGATTTACAGGGCGTTTCAGGGCCAGACGTTCGGCCTGGACCCGCTGATCTGAGGTCTGCTCTCACACGTCCATCAGTGACGAGACGCACATCAGCGCTGATCTGAGACAAGAGCTTCAATCGCTTGTCTGGCCTGTTTGGATCTACAAACTGAGGAGGATCCCATATAGCAAAAAATGAAGAGTTCATTTGCAAAAACAGATAACTCTGTGTGAGAGAGTGTGTGTGTGTGTGTGTGTGTGTGTGTGTGAGAGAGAGAGAGAGTGTGTGTGTGTGTGTGTGTGTGTGAGAGA